CTGGTATGGAGCTATGGGCTAATGCATCAGACTGCAGAGTCTTTTTTGAACTGCAACTTGGGTTGTTCAAGCTCACCTACTGCTCCTTGGAAACCCTATACAGGGTCGCTGTGGGTCGGAATTGACTCGACAGCACTTAACAACAATAATAAGGTTGCATTTTCTGTATTAACATTAAGAATAATGTTTTTATATATACTCCATTATGGGTAATTTTTACAAATTTTTTCTTCTTTGAACATTTGATTTTTAAATATGAGTCAAATTTCTTAGATACCAACAAAACTTTACCGTAGTTCTAGACTTAAAGGAAGTAAACATTTACGTAGCTTCCTAACCTGGACGTGTATCAACTCCGGAAAGCTGGAGACCCGTAGTGTCATTTTCAGACTGTTATAAAGTGGTTTTCGCTTACATTCTTTGGCACAACCTATGCTGGGAATGGCCATTAAAAAAAAAAAAAAAAAAGCGTTTTTAATTCATTTAGGAATTATATGAGGAAAAAAAAATCATCTAAAATAACTTTTTCTTCTTACGTCTTTAACCACTAAACTTTATAATGTCAATTATGAAGTACATTAAATGGAAATATTAAAAATAAGATTTAGTTTCAGTTTCATAGGATTTCGTTTCATAGGACTGAATAGAAAATTGAATGAGGTTTGAGAAACACATACCCACACAAAAAATGCTCGTTTTCATTGTTGTAAATGTGAACATATTTGTTAACTTCTTTGGTAAAATATGAAAAATGAACCAGCAGGCAATTAATATTGATTATAATTGTTTCCACTGCATATGTTGCCATTATGAAGAAACTTAAATTGATGATTATATATTAAATATGGACTTAAAAGAATAATGTTATTAATTTTGTTTTTATACAGTTGATGTGTTAAAGAAAATTGACATTCCTTCCGTTTTTATTGGTGAATCATCGGCTAATTCACTGAAAGTTGAATTTATATATGAAAAAGGGTAAGTAAGGAATACAAAAAATAATTAGGTAGCATTAAGACTTTGCTTATATCAGTGTAGAATTATCTATTAGTTAAAAACACAGTTATGTTTTAGAACATACTCATTTTATTGCTCTAAATCATCTTTTTTTAAGTGGTTATGATTTTAAGACTTAATGTATTTTACGGTTTCTTCTTTGTATGTGTCTTAGTTATGTAGTGCTACTATATAACAGAAATACCATAGATAGATGGGCTTTAAGAAACAGAATTTTATCTCTCACAGTTTTGGAGGATGGAAGTCCAAACTCATCCCAGCTCTGGAGAAGGATCACTGTCTCCTTTCAAAAGGCATCTGTAGGCCCACTATTCCTTGGAGAGCTCCTGTGTCTTAGCATTAAACTTTCCCTGGATCTAGGAACTTCACATTGTAAGGAGCGCCAGTCCAAAGGACATACTTCATGTCTGCCTCTTCTTTCTTGGTGTTAATAGAACCCTCTTTCTCTGTTTGATTCTCTCCTTTTATATCTCAAAAGAGATTGACTCGATATATAACCTAATCTTGTAGATGACATCCGGCCTCATTAACATATAGAAGTGAAAATCGACAACAGATAAAAATAAGGAAGGTTCATATCACATCATGGGAGTGATTGCATTATATTAAATCTCATCATGGGGATTACTGTGTCTTTTTTCTTCTTCTTCTTTTTAAAGCTTTTATTGTGAATTCAGTGGTAGTTTACATGGCAGAACATCAGTTTTGCACTCAACCAAACATATTTTGTTTCATTGCAACGATTACAATGAAATATATTTTATTTTATTGCAACGATTACAATCCCCTCCATGAACCTTCAGTTAATAGTATTTGCCTTTAGTCTCTCTTTTTTTTTTTTTTTTGGTACACAAAAACACACAGGAATATATAATCATTTAAACAACCAAAGGGCACATTTTGTAAGCTAGCCTCCTGCCCACCAGCACACAACCTTTCTCTTTCCATGAGTCTAGAGTTCTCAGCTGCTCTATCTCTACATGACATCACCTCTGCCTCCATCTCTGGTGTCACTGCTTCTCTGGTTAGGATCCCATGTTCTGCTCATGCTCTTCTCTCTTGATGGTGCTAGGATCCTCTGTTCTGGAATGTCAGATTAACTACTCCTCCCCTCTTTTTTTTGTTACAAAACTTCTTTCTTTACAGTTGTGACAATTGTAATTAGTCATAATAACAGTTACTCACTATTGAATCAAAAGAGTCCTGTCCCCATCTCCTTTCACCAGACCCATCTAGACAAAATG